TATATATATATATATATATATATATATATATATATATACACAATACAAAACAATTTTGTACTATGGATATTAAAATATTAAATTTATGTATATAATTTGTAGTATTTATATCTAAATATAAATAAACAGTTCCTTAAATATATGCATGCATGTGTGTATTTATATATAAAAATCTGTAAAATTTTAATAAACTGGCAGCTGTGATTGGCAGAACTTACTAATTAAAATATGGTAGAAACCATAAAATAATGTTTTAATACAGTAAGCATCATCATATCATATTTCATTAATAAGTAATATTATACATTAGTGTCTTGAAGTACGAAAATCTACACATCATACATTTATTTATGTGAAAGAAATAATAATGTAATTTCAACAAAAGGCAAAAAAATTGCCCTGTTTTTTCTTTTTTTCTTTGCTCAGCACTAATATCAAAATAATAAAAAAACATATTTACAAAAGTAGACTAAACAAAAAAATCTGAAAGTATCTTATGCCTATTTAGAAAGCATCTGTTTAGTATGTTTTAGATGATTTATTTTTTTAAACAAGACAAACATAATAAGTATGACTTATTTTTTTGAAGTGCAAAGTACAGCCACATCAAAGCACATTTCTCCACTCCTCCTCATTCTTTCATCTCAAAAATCCCTCTTTCGTCTGTTCCAGAAATTCTTCCAGATTATCAGCTTAATGTTGGACATCGAAAACCTCGAGAAGTGGGAAGATGCTCACCAGGTAACACCATCCTTCCTTGTTCCCTCAAATATCCGAGTGAAGAGCGCGACTTTTGATATCAGTGTGTGCCATGAGTTTTAATTTCCCCTCAGACAGAGCTGTGTCATCAAAGCCAGGTCTGATCTCTCAGATTAACAACAGATGTAATCAGACTGGCTTTGGATGTAATGGAAGTGGACTGCGCAGTGTGTTGGGAAAGGGCCTGCGCTGTTAGAGCTGTCTCTTAGCATTACAATACCCCATTAGATGTTATTTGACTTTAGATGCTGTGTAGTTTGGTCTACGGTGTCAAGCCAGGACACTTTTGCATAGTAATATACTAACTCAACCATGAAGTCTGTTTTTTTTTTCCTTTCTTTCATTGCCCTGAGGCCTGGACTAACAGCAGGAGATCATATTCTGACTCACTCAAGACCACACACTTTTTTTTCTGGTTATGTCAAATAACTAGCAAATTATAGGGTGGTTATGCTTGACAGTCCAGTTCCAGTTCCACTTTGCATCATGTCAGAGTTATCAAATTGAGTTATTCATGTTTCAGTCTTTATACATGGAACAGCATAAGCTAAAAGTCTTTAAATATACACTCACCGGTCACTTTATTAGGTACACCTTACTTGTACTGGGTTAATTAATCCATCGTGGCCTAGATTCAATGAGGTACTGAACATATTCCACAGAGATGCTGGTCTGTATTGACATGATAGCATCACATAGTTGCTGCAGATTTGTTGGCTGCACATCCATGATGCAAATCTCCCATTCCATCACATCCCGAAGGCGCTCTATCAGATTGAGGTCTTGTGACTCTGGAGGCCATTTGAGTACAGTGAACTCATTGTCATCTTCAAAGAAGCTGTCTGAGATGATTTGTGCTTTATGACATGGCGCGTTATCCTGCTGAAAGTCACAATCAGAAAATGGCTACACTGTGGTCATAAAGCGATGGACAGTGTTAGCAGCAATACTCAGGTAGGCTGTGGCGTTGACATAATGCTTAATTGGTATAAATGTGCCCATTACATCACCACCACCAGCCTGAAACGTTCATACAAGACAGGATGGATCCTTGCTTTCATGTTGTTGATGCCAAATTCTGAACCTACCATCCGAATGTCGCAGCAGAAATCAAGACTCATCAGACCAGGCAACGTTTTTCAATCTTCTATCTTTTTCAATCTGGTGAGCCTGATGGAATTGAAGACTTAGTTTCCTGTTCTTAGCTGACAGGAGTGGCACCCAGTGTGGTCGTCTGCTACTGTAGCCCATCTGCCTCCAGGTTGGACGTGTTGTGCAATCAGAGATGCTCTTTTGCATACCTCAGTTGTAACGAGTGATTATTTGAGTTACTATTGCTTTTCTATCAGCTCGAACCAGTCTGGTCATTCTCCTCCGACCTCAGGCCTCAAAAAGGCATTTCTGCCCATAGAACTGCCGCTTACTTGATATTTTCTCTTTTTCGGACCATCCTCTTTAAACCCTAGAGATGGTTGTGTGTGAAAATCTCAGTAGATCAGTAGTTTTTAAAATACTCAGACCAGTTTATCTGGCACTAACAACCATGCCACGTTCAAAGTCACTTAAATCCCCTTTGTTCCCACTTCTGCAGATCATCTTGGCCATGTCTACATGCCTAAATGCATTGAGTTGCTGCCATGTGATTGCCTGATTAGAAACTTGCGTTAACAAGCAGTTGGACAGGTGTACCTAATAAAGTGGCTGATGAGTGTGTATATGTAAGCTAATTTGTAGTTGCAAAATCTAATGCAAAGATGGTATTATTGATGATAATTAGATAGACATTCGTGTTAGGGTATTGTTAGTCATGTAACTTGTCTGGTGTTTCTTATCTACAGTGAAAAAATAATTACAGTCAATTGTCAAATATTGTGATTCTTGTTTTTTTTTTTTTTTTTTCATTTGTTTATGTTTTCGAATCACATTATGGGATCTTAATATTTTCTTTAACAACTTTCAATGTTAAAAAAAGTGACTTTTATTGACATTTTAATAGTTTGAAGGGATGTATTGCATGGGTTGGTGTTGTAAATGATGATTGAAAAAGGTGATAAACTGCCTGTAGTTTTTCTGTTATTTTACTGATTTAAATGTATCTATATTATTTTGTATGCAATATAATGTTTCAAACTTATAAAATGTAATTAAAAGTCACTTTATTTAGCTACACATTTGAATTTTCAACATCAAAGTTGACAAATAAAGAGACCAAGGTCCAATAATGCACTTTGTAAACGTAAATAAAAAACAAAAACAAAACATGAAGCAAAAAATACCAAACCTGTTAATTAATAGATATATTTACAGTATAAGTGATAATAAAAATAAGTTTGTATACTTGGGCTATCATTCTGTATCAATTGGTGATCTGTTTATTGTGTTAAACAATAATAAAAATTATTTAAATTGCTATAGTTAAAAAGAGAATAATACATTCAGACATATTGCTGAAACAAAAATAAATCAAAAAATCACTTCTTTAACTAATAGTCAAAATTAAGGGTTATTCAAACTTATTAATACAATATAAGCATTATTGATTTTTGATACTTATTTTCCTTTGTTCAGGTATAGCTCCCCAATCTTGCCATTAACTCCCATAAAATCACCAGTAATACATTTCATTAAAACGTTTTTTAATTAAAAATAGCATTAATTTCTTTCCTTACAATGAAATTGGTTTAAAAGTCCTCCATGTATTTATTGCTGAGGATACTGACCTGACCTATATATTTTTATTATTAAAATATTACTATTGTATTATTACATTTATTAAATAATTATAATTTTTTTGATAGGGTAAGTGAAAATATTTTCCAACTAGGATATTCAACAAAAGTCCTTAGTATTTTGCACTGTATAAATCTAAATATAATTTATAATGGTCTTAAAATTTATAATAAATCTATAATAAAACTATTTATAATAAATTAAAAAGTTAAATTAGCACAAATGTTATTATTATTACAATTATGTGCAATAGTTATTTGAGTATTAATTTATTCCATGATTTTTTTTTTTTTTAATTGGGTTATATTTTAAATAACTATATTTGTATACATTTATGCAATTATATAAGCCCAATTATTATGTTAGGTTTTATACTGTTTGATGTTTTCATGTTCTTGTTGTGTCTGATGCAACATAATTTCATTCTGCATTAAAATTTATTGAGATTTTTTGAATGACAAAAATAAAGGAAACTGATACTGAAACAAAAAAATGTCTTAAATTTAACTTGGATAAACTTGCAGAAACCCTGATAATGCTAAATAACTGCATTAATGACTTTTAATAATGATATTTTAATTTAAACTACTTTCATGTTAGTTTAAATTCTAATAAACACCCTAAGCAAGTAATTACAAGTACAATCATTTGTATAAATGACAAATTATTACTTTTTGTTGTAAACTTTTTGATCAAATATTGCAGCCTTGGTTAGCATCAATTTAATCATGCAAAAGTAATATTTTATGCCACTGAGCCCTTCTGTCCTCTTCAGAAATCACAGTGCATTATATAGTAATATATGCTCATGCAATTTAAATGACAGGCATGGGTTACTGTATGTGGAGGTAATGGTGACTAATGGTCACATGCAGTGCAAAGTCTGTGCGGCACATGCTTGTGACTCCGGCGAACGTTTATGTTTGTGTATGTATGTGTGCGCCAGGTGCTTAGCTCAGCGTGACTGAGCCAGATTTTGGTGTTAAAGCACAGTTGAGCAGGCAAATCTTTGACACACCTCCTGCTCTCCCTGCTCAGTAAATAATCATCTTCTCCTGTGAGCCTGCTGGAGTGTTCACCAATGCACGTTCCCTCTGCCAGCATCTTAAAGACGAAGTGCAGTGTTTTTTATATTGTTTAAAAGCTGACAAGAAGAGTATTAAAAGGCTAAAGGTTTTTGCCATCTATTGTGACAAGAAAGGCCGCAGTGAAATCAGTGGATTGCAGAATTGTAGGCACATTGTGTTTCCAATTAGCTTGAGCTGATCAAAGTTACATTTTATTTTAATTAAATACACCGAAAAAAATAATTTAAAAATGATTTCCTGGATTGCAAATTGTTGATGTTCATTAGGTGGTTGTAAACAATTTATTTATGCTTATTTTAAACAAACATTTTAAGTTAAACATTACTTATGGCCTGTTTTCACTGAGTGGTACAGTACGGCACAGGTTGGTATGGTTGGTACCCTTATGATGGGTGTGGTGCACAATAGAAAGTCGAGCTCATTCTGTAAAGTAAAGCTGTACCGGTCATTCACATGTCATATAAGCACTTCTTACAAAGCAGATGCTTTATACACATAAATACTTGTGTATAAATGTTTATTACTAACTTTTCTATGAACATAATTTGAATATGACTTCAGATCCAAAACAAAAGTATGATGTACGCACAAAATTTCAGTGGAATAAAAGAACCAGAGTTCTTTAAACTTTTGCTTTGAGAGTGAGGATTGAGACTCATATAATAAGAAATCACATAATTTTTACATAAACATAAATACATTCATATATGGTCTTTGCGTGTGTGTGTGTGTGTGTGTGTGTGTGTGTGTGTGTGTGTGTGTGTGTGTGTGTGTGTGTGTGTGTGTGTGTGCGTGTGTGCGTGTGTGCGTGTGTGCGTGTGTGTGTGCGTGTGTGCGTGCGTGCGTGCTTGCGTGGGTGTGTGTGTTTGTTTTGTGTTTGCGTGTGGTTGTTTCAGCACCATTTTCCTTTAGTAACAGCTTTGCCACACCATCTGGAAACTTACAAGATGGACAAACAACAAGACCTGTTATTAGCGAAGAATGTTGAGCTAACATACTGTATAAATAAAATAGCAACAAATATTTCACTTTAAAGACATTATTTATGTCTGTACAATAACACAGCAATTCCTTGAGTAGCATATAGCCTACTAACTATAAGAGAAGCTTGATAACTTAGCGTTGTTTAAAGTTTAAATTAACTTTTAAAGGACAGTAAATTAGCATGTTTTTAGCTTCTTCCTAGCAATAGTGTATTGGTAAATTTGTTTCTAGCACTTTTTAGCACACGACTAACCCATTTCCCATGTTGTTAGCATAAAATAGCATGTTTTGAGCATGGTTAGCTATTTTTAGCATAAATTGCTAATTATTTTGTTCTAAGTTGACATTTTAGCATGTTTTGTCACATTTTAACTTTGTTAGCATACATTTAGATGTGATAACTCATCCAACATAGTAGTTGTTAGCCTGAGTTAGCATGTTTTTAGCATGGTTGGCTATTGGAAGCCTGGGTTTGTATTTTTCTTTGATAATTTAAAATATTATAAGCATTGTTAGCATTTTAGCATGTTTGCTTGTATTCTAGCATTAATTATAACATTGTATAGCAGTAAATATAATTTTACTAGAAATGTCTGACATATTTTGTGCAATAATAGGATGAATTAGCATGTTTCTAGCATGGTTTCTAGATTGGTTAACATGTTATAATGCTATGAATATGTTTTACATTAAAACGATGCAGTCTTTTACCAATATATAGCCTATGTAACTTGCATAGCCTCACAGAAACCACAAAAATAACTAAAATACAAACTCCAGTAAACACTATTTAGTCAAATAGCATGCTTTATTGCAGTTTAGTTAGTTTTGTGAAGTACACCAGAAGCCTGTTTAGAAAAGAAAGATGTCAATTTCCCTTTTACTCATTTCAAACCAACAACAAGCACAAATCTGCTTTGTTTGTCATCTGGACTCATATAAAATCGCCATCTGCCACATATTAGAGTGTTTAATTGAGGATACATTCAAAATGAATGTAAATCAAAGTGTATTATACTATAAATGGAGTCCCTCATGGCTCAGAGCTACACAATATTCCACAGACAATCACGAATGGCTTCATTTCCACACGTGCAGACGAAGAATAAAATTCCAATTAGATTGAGGAATGGGCTCTGCTGTGTTCTCGTGTACTTCACTGTGAAATGTGTATGCGATGCACAGTTTTCTGGAACAAAAGCCTAGTGAATTAAAATCCGCTGCCAATTTATAAACATGACAGAGTGGAGGGGGATGATGGTATATTCTGTGCCTCATCTCTCATATGGATGCTTATTTTCTGTCATTGTTTTACTACTGCATCATAAACTTGCATGATCTTGCCATAAAATTGCTTAGAATTTTTTTTTTAAATAAATAAAGATATAATTGACCATTTTCTCTGTAGCAAACAGCTAGATATTGTTGACAGTTATTAGACAAAGTTTAGTGTTTTGCTAGAAATGGTTTATGAGCATTTAGTGGTGTTTGTCTGTGGGTTATGATTGCTGTATGCTACCATTCAAAACAAATTTTATGAATATGAAAGACATTTATTTGGTTTCTGCCTTTATTTGATTGGAAATGACACTGCAGAATAGTATATAGTATGATTTATAATAGCTATATACCTTTTTAGAATGTAATTTATTCTTGTTTTGTAAAAGCTGAATTTTAAGCATCTCAACTCCCTACATGATCCTTCAGGATTCATTCTAAAAAGGGTAGAATAATTAAATTCTGAAAGCTATCAACTATTTTTTTTAAACAGAGCAATTTTAAAGAGATTCTTTTTCAGAGCACAAAGGTTCTTAATTGATGCTTTAATATACGTTGAGCCCATCTGCTTGCAACAGTTCAATTTGTGTGTCTCGTTTTAGTTTGAGATTGTTCTGAGAGTAATGCATATTTTTAAAATCATAGCATAAGATTGTTTAATAGATGTGATGCCATTTAAGTATATGATATATGCATAGCTGCCAGGAAACACTGGCATCTAACAACATAATTAAACAATAAAAGGAAATCATATAAATAAACAAAACATCATAATATCATCATCTTGAAAAATCAAAAATAAATTTGAAATATATTCTGTCAACTCTACTCACCGCCTGATAAGTATGAATGAGTATAATATTTTATACACTACCTGACAAAAGTCTTGTCGCCGATCTCAAATGTAAGAGCAACAAATAATAACTTGACTTCTTGTTTATTGTTTGGAAAAGTGGCAGAAGGTAGATTTTTCAGATG